AATAAATGGCAGAGAAGGGACAAATCTTCCTTACAGAACAATTCCAAATAATAAACGTATGAGCAAAGAAGAATTAGAAAATCGCCAGGAGAGTGCCTCAGTAATCATTGCTCCAGGCAAAATCCATAGATAGACGCTGAAATTAGTAGACAAAACTTTAAGGAGAACTGGGACATTTGCGTAGCCTGAATATACCTCCCCCAAATATTTATTAATTAATGTGATTTTAACTGTGTCCGCATGCTCTTTGCCGCCGCCCCCGCTAGAAGGGAGAGCATCAGTCACCTCTCCTTGACCGTGAGCTAGACTAGTGGTGTCTCTCTTCTAACAGAGGATGGAAAAGGAAGACTAGCGTCTTTATGGTGGAGAAACCCGGCAGACATCACCTCCGCCATGTGCTCAAGATCAACATCAACGGTGATAAGTCATGGTTAAACAAGGGGTGATCTCAGGTGCCTTGAGGACCCACCGGCTGTGTCGTATTCTCATAATACACAACGCCAGGCTGATCATGAGGAAATATCAGACAAACCCAACTTGATGGACATTCTACAGAATACTGAACCAGTGTTCAAAACTTCCAAGGTCAGGCAAAGCGAGGACAGACTGAGAAACCGTCACTGTGGACACGTGACAACTAAAGGCAGCATGGTAGTGTGCACTGGATTCTGGAATGGAGAAGGGACATTAATCAAAAACTGTTGAAATCCAAATAAAGCCTATAGTGTAATGGTGTTGTACTGGCGTTCATTTCCCAGTTTCGGTAAAAGCATCTCAGTTATGCAACATGTTCACATCAGGGGAAACTGGGTGAAGGGTATCGAGGAACCCTCCGTACCACCTTGCGACTCTTCTGTGAATCTAAAATTATTTCAAGATAAGAAGGTATTTTTTTTAACCGGAAAATCATGTTCTATGGTTCAGGGCCCAGCCACGCTCCTTCCTCCAGGAAGCTTTCCCCGATCTCCCCTGTCCACTGGGCTTGCTCTTTCTCAGGGCCCCCAAGCCTGCCCCCTCTGTCACCCTCTAGGCCCCAAGCATGTAAGGCCTGAAGGGTTCCACTTCTTTTCGGGGATTAGATGAGCCTTCCAAAGTACACTGCGAGCTTCCAGACAGCAGAGCCTGACTCTCATGTCTTGGAGACCTTCATAGTCTGTGCCTTCCATGGGAGGGTGGGACTGAGGGCCCCCAGGCAGGCTTGGGCCCAGCTGGGAACTGTGGGTGGCATTAGGGGAGAGCACTGAAGTCCTTGTCCACAGAGCTTGTCACCTCCACTAGTTTATTCCAGGGGCTGGACAGGGGTCTCTTGTGGAAAGTGAAGTTAAGCAGGGGAGACAGCTCACTAGACTCTCGTGGACAATAAGAGGGTTATCTGAGATGCCACTCTATAAGTGTGCATGAGCCCTGAGTCCTGAACCACCAAGAGCTGAGGCACTGGGTGCCCAGGCCCCTTTGCTGTGGGACCCCCTCCACCACTTGTCCAAACCCCAGACAGCCCAGCCACACTGAGGGCGGTAGGAGCATGTGGCTCAGCAGCGGCTGTGTCTGGAGTCTCAGGGAGGACCCAGGCACTACAGGGGGACCTACAGCAGCTGCCCCAGAGGGTTCCTGCCCCCGCCCGGGAGGCCTGCTTGGGCTCACATTGGTCAAGGACAGCAGCCAAGGCTACCTCAAGTCGAGTGGCTCCTCCTCATTGCCCTCTGATGGGGAGCCAAGGCCCAGGGCGAGCTGTAGGCACCTGCAAGGCCCTGGTGGAGGGGCCGGGGACAGGCGGGACAGTCTGAGGACAGGAAAGGACCCTGGAGAGGCTGACACCCACAGTCTGCCCCAGGCAGCTCCTCCTGCCCTCCATGCACCCCTCTGGGACGTCTCTTCCAGACCCATGGCTTTGGTCATGACCCACAAAAGCAGATCTCAGAGAGGCTCCTCCTCCTCCTCCGGGTTCATTTATCCTTCCAGCCACTGGACCCTTCCCCTGAATATCCCAAGTGCACCTCCAGCTCCAGTCCCAAATAAAACTCAGCATCCCTCCTCAAACCTGTTCTTCCAACTCTCATTCGCCCCTCCACGACTGGCAGCCAACACCCACGGTCATCCTTGGCTCTCCCGCACCTCACCCCCACATCAATCCCTCAGCAATCCTACCTTCTTAATCTATCACCACCTCCCTAGTCCAAGGCAGGCCCATGGGAAGTGATCAGGGCACGTGGCGTGGCTGGATGGATCAGTGAATGGGAATGTGGCCGGGTGGATGATGGATGGATGGAAGGAAACGGTGGGACTTTTACAGCTTAGGCACCTTTGAGACCGAAGTCATTATACCCGGCAGTGCTTTTCTTGGGCAACACTCAGACCCTTAGTTTGACAAGGGCTGGGTTGAACATACTGCTTCCGGGAAGGGCCCAGAGCTAAGACCACCCTGAGGTACACTGTTTTGAGGAATCAGGCAGTCGGGATACTTGAACGTCAGAGGGCACAGAATAGCCCATGCCAACCACTTCTGAGACTGCCCCACCCCTGGGGGAGCCGGAGCAAGCAAAAGGATGCCAGTTGCTGCCACATGGAAGGTCCTTGGTCTCTGGACTCTGTCCAGGACTCAGGACTGGGCCGGGAGGACACCCTTCCTCCCCCACGTGCCTCACACGACATCCAGAGACATACACAGGAAGAGGCGTCACGTGGACATCTCTTTCTTTTTACAAAGACTTTATTGTCTGACATGCTTGACAAAAAAAAAAAAAAAAAAAAATTACAGCCACAATCAAGTTATGCCAAAATGATTGAGGAGCACGCCATCATCTTTCGTACCTCAAGGACTTTTAATGAATTTTCTTTCAAAGTAACAGCTGCCTTCATAACTTTTCTTTCCCACATAAAAATACACCATATTCTGAAGGTACCTTAGGAAAAAAAGATTTTAGGTTTATAGGTCTTGGTCCGCATAGAAATTCGGTAGAGGTGACTAAAAGGGCCTGTGTCTTCATCCCACGCGTGCCCACGCGCCACGCACCCGGGCTTCCCCAGAGACCTTGTGAACATCCGCAGCCACCAGGAACCACTGGGCCAAACAGACTCCCGAAGTCCCACACCCCACAGAGCGCAGCTGCCTCCGGTCCGCGTTGCTGCTGCCAGGCTCCCCTCACCCAGGGCACCCCTCGCCCCTTGGGGAGCCCTGTGCGAATAGGGAAGGAATCATGGTCTCCCGGGATGCCAGGGTGCTGGGCTCAGAGAACAAGATCCCTCAGCACTCCAGGGGCTCTCTCTGAGAGACAAACCAGAGGGGCTCTGAACAGGACCCTTAAAAAAAAAGGAAAAGAAAAGGGCCTTGGGACCATGCATTGCCTTGGCGGGGCGGAGCTTTGAGCCACGGCAAAGCAGAGGCCATGGAGCGAGCCAGAGACCAAGGCTCAAGTGCCGCTTCTGCCCGCTTTGAACAGCGCACCCTCGGGCAAGTCACGTCACGTCTCTCAACCACCTCACCTCTAAAATGGGCCAACAGAGCTGACCTTGCATGACCACCTGTGATGAATGGAGATTGTACCTGCAAAGGGGCGTGCTAAGTGCTGGCTCCCAGGGCGGGGCCGAGGGTGAGGGAGTAAGGCCCTCCCCTCAGGCGCCCGATTTAAGGGGCTACCAAAAAGCTCGGCAAGAGAGAGAAAGGGTGCTATTTAATACCATGTCTTTAAAAATCAAAATTGATTCAGAAAAATATCCATGATGAACAAAATATCAAAATTTTCAATAAAGATAGAATCTGACGCTGCACGGCGATCCTGCCTCTCTGGCCTCACTCATGATGAGACCCTGCTGGTTCTCTCTCCCTCACGGATTCAGCCCCAACCACCCCCCTACCCAGCCCAAGTCCTAATTTAAAGAAAAAAAAGAAGCCGCCCTGCGTGGAGCTGCCAGAGCCCAGGGCCCACTCTGCCAGGGGGCCACCCTCCCGTTAACGGGACAGACTGGCAAGGACCAGGAACCACTCAGCCCCTTCGGCTGTGGGCCCACCAGACAGAACCCAAATGGTGCGCGGGAAACCGCACTGAGGGATGGAACCCCACTGGAGGACAGTAGGGAGAAACATGGGTCCACTTCATTAAGTTAAGAAGGACGTTGTGTGTGTGCAGGGGCGTGCACGCCCACACGGGCGCATCCACGTGGCAGGGTGGCCTCGGTCTGCAGCCCCTCCAGCCTCCCGAGTTCTGCAGAGCTGCGAAGCCCCCGCAGGAACAGGGCCCATCCGTGACTCAGGAACCTTCCATCTGGTCCTGGGCACTCACATGGCTCGTTCTGTAGAACCACTCCCCCGGATCCAGGCCCCGAGCAAGCACCTGGGATGCTCAGGCCATTGTTCAAGACGGCCAAGATGCCCACAGGAAGAAAGCAGGGTCACAAGATGAGGCAGACAGCTTGTTGGCCTGGCCAGGTGCGGTCCGAATTCCTGAGACGTCCCTGATCGCTCCCTCGAGGGCCTCAGCTGTGAAGCAGCCCCGTCTCCCCAACCCCGGGGGGAGATGGCGGGCTACTTGCACATGGGCTCTAAAACATCCCACCCACCCCCAACCCTGGGGCTTGCAGCCACACAGACCCTCAGTTAGAGGGAGATTTTTGTGCGAGAACTTCCAAAGTGTGTCCAGGAGCCGCGGCTTCCCAAACCCACGAGGGTGTCCAACTGAGAAGGATGAAGAGTCCGTCAATTCCCAAGCAGGACAGGACCGCAAGCTTGTTAGGTCCCTTGACAAGGTACACGCGGAAATGTACACGCAGAAAACAGTAATGAGCACAGAACCCCTAACAGGGACCCACAGGGTCCTGACTCCAGGTGACGGAGGCTGAAGAGTCAGGGGAGATCTTCTTCATTCCAAAGCCTCAACCCATCTGCTGGGCTGCTCCCCACGGCCAGACGGGTTGTCTGCATGGAAGGAAGGGCGGTTGGGGGTCCGTGCTCTTGGCCAGGCATATGGAGCTGATGTGGGCAGGAAGGGCTGAGACAGCAAGGGCAGTCAGGAGTTCCGGGGTGTGGGGAGGTCAATGACTATGGGTGGATTCACAGGCTGGTAGTTCACGGTGCACACAGACGCGTTCACATAGGTGGTCGTCCCATCTGCCATGACACCGTACCCTGGAAAGTAAGCACACAGCCGTCAGGGCTGAGGGGTAAGGCCGGGACCCAGGACAGTGAGGTGGCCTAGTGGGCATGGTAGTAGAGCACTCGGCTACAGCAGGCGGAACACATCCGGGGCAAGCTACCAAAACCCTCAACTTAGCCTCTTCATCTATAGAGGTGATGATGACACAGCTCCTTCCGAGGCTGCGGTAAGGAGCAAATGAGACACTAATCCACATATAGGGTCCAGCCCAGTACCTGGGAAGCACATGGAGAGCACACAGTGAGATATCTTCAGTGATCATTATCACCATCACCACCACCATCACCACCATCATCATCACCATCACCACCACCACCATCATCATCATCACCATCATTATCACCATCATCACCATCATCACCATCATTATCACCATCATCACCATCATCACCATCATCACCATCA